ACGGATCCGTTTGGTCATGATTCGCAATCGGATCGGATACGGAGCTCGCAAACGGACAGGATACGGATCAATCCGAATAATGTACTGCTATTTACTGAAAACGGTTCGCGTGCGGTCCGTATGCGGTTCCTATTTCAACCGCGCGCGAACGCGACGCGTCCGTAACGGACCCGTTCGCATTTTACCTGTGTAACGGTTTTCTCAGATGCAATAATTATATCTATGAACATCGCGATATTAGATTTTTAGAAAACTTTTGAACTACTTTTCCAAGACAATATAATACGTATGCTGAACCATCGCTAACTGTCAAATTCAAGACACAACCGGAAGGGCCACCGAAAAAGGAGAGCGACGAAGAAGACACCGAAGAATTCTGAAGACACCAACAACCGCCGAAGAATGAGCGCCAGAAAATAAAATCACAACAAGGAATTAAGTTCACGAAGTTCACAAAGTTTGGACATGACGAAGCCGACTCGTTGTATCTTGTCCCGTCTCATTCGGAATCTGAAGTTTAGCTAGTTTATAAAATAGAGATTTTTTTTTCAATTTCAGAAAATTCCCGTTGCTCCCCAATGGCAAGAAATTTCCTCACCTTCTATTTGCTATCCCTATCATCTGGATTTAAACGGAAGCTGTCCTCGTAGTTCTAGAAATTGAGAAACCCAGGAAGCCATGCTCCTGTAAAAGATATGCTTCCTTTGTTTTTTAAATTTTTAAAATTTCTCTCATTTTGTTATCACTGGTTTCTTAAACTATCATAGTTTAGAATATCATAGTTTTCTAATTGCCCTCGAAAAGGTGCCAAGAAGTTGTCTATCAAAATTTTTTCAAAAAGGATTTTTCAAATAAAAAAGAGCGACCCAGGAAGACGTGATTTCCGAACCTAAGAAAGTCCAAACTTAACCAATTCCCATTTTCTCTCCTTTCTTTCCATTTCGTTAATCCTGCTCACGTTGTTTCGCTGCTCCTCATCACGATTTCGACTAGCCCCAATCTTACCCCGTGACGTTCGGAATCTGAAATTGAGCTAGTTCATGAAATACCAATGTTTCCTTTTAGAAAAATACCATTTCCCTCATTCACAGTAAATTCTGACTGAAAATTTCTATTTTCTCTCCTTTCATTCGCTACTACTGCCATCTGCATCCCACGTCATCAAACTCCTGGATCAGATTCCTGGAAGTTGCAGCATCCCGGAAACCAAGCAGACTCTAGAAAAATAAATTTTGAAACTCAATACCGAGCTTCTGTTTTTTAATTCTCATATTTTACCCCATTTTGATATTTCTGATTTCTTGAATTAGCAATTTTGTTATTTCTAATCGAAAGTTGTTGAGAAGTTGTGTATCAAAAATTTTACAAAAGGTTTTTGAACATTTTTATTGAAAAATTAACGGCCCAGAAGCAGAATTTCTGAACACCAGAAAGTTTCAAATTTTACCGATGCCCATTTTCTCACATTTCATTCCATTAAAGTTTGACTAGCAATTCCTACTTCCTCACCTTCCATTCCGTTTTCCTATCATCTGGATTCGAATGGAAGCTGCCCTCGAAAACCTGGAAGTTGAAGAATCCCGGGAACCAAACTGCTCCTGGAACTTTGAAAACTAAATACTACTTGTTCTTTTTTTTTCCCATTTTCTCACCTTTCATTATGTTTCGTCTTTCCTGCTGTCATGATCCTCCAATCCTCGAATCTCCATTTGTCAATCGTCGAAATCGTCCTAGAAGTTGTCCTCGAAGTCCTGAAAGTTGGAAAAAATTCGACTAAAAATAAATTCTTTTTTCTTCACCTTTCATTCGCTGTTTCCTGTCATTTAGATTTGAATGGAAGCGGTGATCGAAGTTCAGGAAGTTGGAGGATCCCCGAATACCAAACAGTTGTCGCCGAATTCCTGGAAAATGAAGCACCCCGAAAACCTAGCCTGAAATTGAACGTTGGAAACTGAGTACTGATCATCTCTTGTTTTTCTAAATCCTGAGTTTCTGAATTTTGCCCCCCATTTTGTCAGGCTTTCACGGAGGTCAAATTGAATTGACTACCGTAAACGCTGTAACAGGTGGGTTTTAACTTTGAGCCAATTTATCTCAGTTCCGGTCAAAAATATAAAGACGTTGTTAACTAATAAACTGTTTATCCTAACATCAAAAACATTTTATCAGTTGACACATTTTTGATATCTTGCTAGAACTTTTGGTTTTAATTGTATTGTGTTTGTTGCAGTTTCAATCAATTCGAGTTCTGTTACAGAAAAATATTTCACCCCCAATTTTTTGTTGATCTCATGGTTCGATCAAACGGAAATCACTGAATACTATTTCTGATGAATTTTAAATTGGAAAATCATAAATCCGTAAAGTTTGTGAAACTGGTGAACATAAAATCCCATTCCTGAACCTATGAACTTGCTTTCCAAAAACTTAACAGTCAACAGATGCTTCTTCATTCAAATATCACCAAAAATATATATAGAATTTAGAAATTAGAAGCCGTGGAGGTCTTCGACTTCATCGAGCTCTTCTTTTCGTTGTTAGTCGTTGTCTCCTTTGTGTACAAATCTTGGACAGTTCCAGAATGAGAAACCGATGAAGAGGATTTGGCCTGAAAATCAATTTTTCGATTGTGAGATTCAAAATTCGATTGTGAGATTCAAAACTGATATCTCACTCCAAGAATAAGACGTCTATTGCAACTGAGAAGAGCCATCGGAAGAGCAATTTGAGGAGCACATGAGACGATTTCATCGATTCGGTTGAAGAGACCATTGAACGTTTGGTTTTCCATTGCAAAGAGCATGCACAAATGGACTAGAAGGGAGAGCTGAAAAGAGGAGCTTGGGGCGCTTAGGGAACAATACATCAGATTCCTGCCAACTTGGAAAACATTTACAATTTCATTGAAACAGTAACAGAATGTAAGGAAAATTAGTTTCGATTTAAGATAATCGTTCAGTAGTTTCTTACCGTGTAGGTCACCAAAATAAGCATTCCAATCTTCAAAGTTCGTCTTTCGGCTTTATCGATAATCTCCTTCGTTTTATCACTAATCACCAGAAGTCTCTTTTTTCGAAGATTATTGTATGCTACTACATAAAACACAATCGAAGACAACGGGAAAACATAAACAGCGATTGTCAGGGGCTGAAAATATTTTACTAGAGAAATAATTATCTATTTCTTACCTCAGCCATATCACTAGCCATCATCTGAATGGTATTGGTTGCTTCATCGTATCGGGTGTAAACTCCGCACATTTTCTGGTAGACGACGGAAAGAGCAAGAGCAAGAAGAGCAGCACAAGTGAGAGTACCACGAACAATCCAGCATCCCCAGGCATTGATCACTTTATTTGGCCAGACGAGAACCATCATTCGATTGAGACCAGCATAAAAGAGCCAGATTGAAGAAGCGATGCAGGTGAACATGTTCACGATCAGGATCAGTTTTATGTACCAGCATTCCTCAAAGTCGTCAGCCTGAAAATTTTACGGTTTCAGTACAAACAACAATCCTCGGAAAATATGATTCTACTTTACTTTCCAGATTCTTGAACTTTCCTAATGTTGGATTTTTCCTTTTAAAATTAGATTATTTACAAACCAGTCGGTATACGCCCCCTGTGGAGGGCTCAACCTCCTGGCTTCCGTTTACTATATCTTACAATTAAACTTCCCATATTTCAAATTTCCGAATTTTCGAAGTAATCAAAATTTTTTAATATTTGGTTTTCCAAATTTTCAAAATTTCCAAACTACTGAAGACGGAATTTTTGAAGGTCTTATAATATGGAGTATGTGAATTCCCGGTTTTTTGAAATTTTAAATTTTTGGATATCTGAAATTCAGGATCACTGAAGTTCCTGGTTACCCGTTCCGAATTTCGAAAATTTTCCGTTTTGAAAAACAATTGCGTCCCTACGGGGCTGCATATCCTGGCTCTCACTTACATTGTCCGTAATTATATGAGAAAATGTTTAATTTCAGTGTTTCTGAAATTCGAGATAGGAAACTCAGAATTTCGGTAATTTCGAAGTTAAACATTTCGGAATTAGTCCGGAAATTGGAAATGTAAGACATTCGGAAAATCAGAGATTAGTAAATTTTGAAAATCGGAAGTATGAAAGTTTTAACTTCGAAATCTAGAAAGTGTTTCAACTTTCCGAAAATCTGAGTGTCTGAAATTTTTGTATTTAGTGTTTCCGATTTTCAGGAACTTAAAAAATCAGAATTTCTCATACTTACTAAATGCCGAGCCGACCTGAGACGGCTCTGCTCGATGTATGTCATTTCGATAGTTTAGAAATTGAGAGAGTTCGAACTCGGAAGTACCCTAATCTAGATTTTCTAAATTTCCTATATTTCAAATTTCCAAATTTTTAAATTTACTGATTTCTGAATTATCAAGAGTCTTGCTTTCCATGTACCCAATTCTCGAACTTCAAGATTTCCGGATTTCTGAATTTTCAATTCTTATTTCTGCTAATCAGAAATTTGGGAACTTCTGCCTCAAAAATCGGGAGTTCGAAATTCGGAAAAATAGAAATACAGAGACCTAGAAATAGAGAAATTCCAGAATGACTGGACATCTCCCGCTCATTATGCTCATAATTATGCAAGGAAAATATCAAATTAGTGTGTTTTTTCGAGTTTCGGTTTGTTTTTTTTTTTCAGGCCACGGCTCTCTGGGTTCAGAAATTCAAGCATTTGAGAACATGTAAAAATTCGAAATTCAGAAGTTCAACTTTTCAAAAGAACACAGTCTCGTCAAAAAGTTTTTGGAACTTCGGAAATTCAAAAATTTAGATTTAAGAATTAGAAATTTCTAAACTTCGAAAACTTAGAAACTCCTTTGGAAACCGTAAAAGTTAGAAAAACGGAAATACTAATTTTTTGTAAATTTGGTGAATGAGGTCTCAGAAATTTATATATCCGAAGTTTGAAACCCTGAAATTTTGAGTAATCCAGAAGAGCCGCTCTTATTTTGCCATGCATTCTTTTTTTTCTCACTGTTTCAGAATTTTTTCTCTCTTTCAAATCTTCAAAATCCAGACTGAAATAATTCTTCGACAAAAACACCGTTCTCTCACTTTCAGAAATAGCGTGGATAAGAAAAAAATTTGGGTGGTTAGACGGGGATGACGTAAATATTTCTTCAATATTTTTCTCGAAATCTAGAAATGGAAGAACGTCTCCAGAAGACGTCAGAAACGAAGTTTCGGAAAATAAAATATGCGGGCATCATCTCGCTGCTATTTTGGGTTATCTGTGAAATTTTGGGAAATTTTGGTCCATTATTGACTCCTCTAGGCTAGGTGATACGGGAACACCGGACACACACACACACAGAATTTGGTGATTGTTAATAGTAAAGATAATATTCTCAAAAAATTAAATACTGTAATAATTGCATATGAAACAGTAAACATTTCTAGTTTTCCAGTTCTAAAACCGATACATGGCTTTATTTAGAAACAAAAAACTTTCTTCACAGAGTTCAATCTTATTAACTTTCTATGCATAGGATTCTCAAGTCATGTCTTCATCTCAAACTGAAATCTTATTCTGAGACAACGTCACTACTTCAGGTCCAAAAAACACCCGTACTACATAATTGATTAAATTACTCATGCTGGCGCATGAATAATGATTATATTACCGAATGTCAGAACATAAGGATAACTGAACTTTGGTGGAGATTTTTGGTTAGAAGACTTAAGCTCCGTTTAGTTTACCGTAAAACCTGTAATAGAAGGAACCTTACACTGCCAGTTTTGAGCTGATTTTCCTGGGCTCCTATGCAAGGTATCAAAAATGTGTCACCTGATAAAATGCTTGCTTTATTACGATAAAAAGTTATCAGTTGACAGCATTTTATATCTTTGACAGAAACCGAGATAAATTGGCCCAAAGTTAAAAGTTAGGGGCCGTTCTATTACAGGTTTTACGGTGTACCCTATTTAGCTTATACCTACCGTTCTATCCATCATTGTCGCCAAAGTTCCCAGCGCATTCACTGCTACAAAACAGGTAAAGGTTCGCATGATAATGTAGAAGCAAGCCTGCAAATAAAGTGCAGTTTTATGACCCAGCCGAGTATATTCATTTTATGAAGACTCATTAAAAATTAAAGTTCTAATTTGGTTTCCGAGTTTTAGAGCTGCCCAAAACTTTGACCTTTGTAACATTCTACTAGGACTAATTTTTTTTGAAAAAAAAAAATACTTGAAGAATTGAACACGAAACAGTAAAAAACCTAGAATTATTCAAAGTTTTAGGACTATGAGAAATTTACAATATTCCGCCAGGATTCCAACAAACAGTTGTTTTAACTTGAAGAATTGAACACGAAACAGTAAAAATTCAAAAAAAAAAAAGTTATCTCATTCAAAACCTACCTTATATTCTGGTCTGGTAGCTCTCCAGAGAACCAAAAACACGGAAACATTTAGAAAAACGATGAAGACATTCAAAATAATTTCGAAGATGAACATCCCATACTCGACACTTGACAACCATTTCGGAGCCGGAGAACTCGTCTCTCCATAGCTTCCAGATGGAATCATTGGCCAGCCAGGAGCTACTGTAGCAGATACAGTACTCCCGGTTTCGGTGAATTTCATAAACATCTTTAGTCGATGTTTGAGTGAGAAAAAGTGAGAATTCTTGAGCTCGATCAGGTTATTTTATAGTGAGTAAGGGGGTGTCTGGCGTTGGCATTGGTAACCGATTGCATTTTCGGGCGGTAATTTGTTTTTTTTCTCGGGGCTTTTTTAGCTGACTTTGCCGATTGGGAGGGAAACTCGTGATGGTGATTTATGTTGCAACTCAATCAAAGAATAAAATATTTGATTGAGTAAGTCCATGTTTGTGGGCGAATATTGGAAACATTTGCAGAGAGAAAGGATAAAGATCGTAGTGTTGTTTGTGCATAATCCATCGGAATCAAAAAACGGACAGGAAATTTAGAAAATTTCGGGAAAATTGCATGAATAGAATGGCACATTTCTTGAAGAATGTGTGAAACAGAAATATCTAGAGCAAATTTTGGTTCAGTGATTTCCAGACGAGGAAAACGTCAATGACAGGTGTAATTTAACTGAAGGTGTTCTGATATTGAATTAAACGCTATTCTGAAAATGAGTAAAGTCTAGACACAACAGCAACAACATTACTTTTGTCTAGTCCTTTTGAAAAATCGAAAATTCTGGCACAGAGTCCAAGTCTGAAAAAACAGGGTCGCGGTTTTTTGAACAGAACATTTCTGAGATTAGTAGAATTTGGCGTCCTGTCGGCCCTAGAAGTTTCTGGGTGGCTGAGCTTATTTACGAAAGAATGAGCGGTTTGGTCCAACATACCAACGGCCTGGGCCGCTGCAGCTGTCCTCCTCCACCAAAATTCAAACATGACCTCAAAACCTGGATCAACTTTCATTTTTTCAAAATCTCACTTCTTTGAGTATTCCAAAATTCTGGTCATCTCGAAGGGAAACTTTATTTCAAACATTCAGAAACAAAATTAAAACCTGTTTCACATTTCGAAGAAATCAAAACCTCTTTCAAATTTATTCAATGGGTCCTTTTCCATTGACTGTGTTCATATTGAAATGTGATTCCTGGCACATTCAATGAAACTCCAAAGTTTCTCTGCAAAGAATATCGTTATTTTTCTCGAGCATAAACAACGCTCAATTATTGAATTTATTTCGTATGATCCCTTGCAAGAAGTCTTGACAACCCTAACAAGTTTATGTCCTCGAGCAGAATATTACGAAATCCCGAAGATTTTTGTGATTTTTTTCAGTTTCGTGAAGGCGGAGGTGTGGATGTCAGGAAACAAGCACGAGAATCATTAGCCGGATGTAAGCAGTTTGATTAAATCAGAAGTTATGAGTGAAGTTAGAAATAGACAATAGCAAAAGGAAAGAACATCAAAGTACAAAATCTGGAAAGAGATGACTCAACAAAGAGAGATCAGAATGGTAGGTACAATGGGAAAATTCCAGAAACTCGAGAATTAGAAACATCCAACTTCGCTCGTTACATGGTACATCGTTGACTTTTGTTAGTCAACGTTTTCAGTATTTTTGTTTTTAAAATTTAAAACGGTGTACTGTAAGGGTCTCAATAGAATCTCGATATCTTTTCAGGAACAGAAAACGACGACTGAAATGCTATTATTTTCCAAAATATTGATACATTACTCAATGAATATGTGAAACAGGAATACGTGCAGAACATTTTTGTTTAGTGATTTCCAGTCGAATACGTCAATGACAGGTGTAATTGATTTGAAGGTGTTCTGATATTGGATCGAACACTATTCTGAAAATGGGGTGTAGACACAACGACATTACTTTTGGTCTCGTCTTGAAAAATTGAAAATTCTAGAAAAATTCCAGCGAAATCTCTCTAAAAACAGGGTTTGAATAGGATCTCAAAAACTGGATCAAAATTTACCAAAATTTCAAATCTTTCAATATTCTAAAATTCAGGTCATCTCGAAGGAAAACTTCATTTCAAACATTCAGCAATGCAGTAAAAACCCGTTTCAAATTTGGCACAAATCAAACCCTTTTTAATTTGTTTAATTGGTTTTGTGAATTGAACTCTAGCGGCCTACAAACACAATGCGGTCTAGGAATCGAAGTCATCGCCTAGAGACCCAACTTGTGGTCTAGGGATGGAGGTAATGACTCATCTGCTCCCCAACAATCAATGATCACAATTTTAGATGCACCCATACTTCGAAATTGCACAACTCTGAATATTCTCAAATTCATATCATCTCGAAGGCAAACTTTTCCTTTTTGAAACATTCAGCAATACAGTGAACACCTGTTTCAGATTTTTTCAGAAATCAAAACCCCTTTGAAACTATTCTAATTCGTCTGTTTCCATGAGCACTGTTCATATGGAATCCATGTGATTCCAGGTACATTCAATGGGATTCGAAGGTTCCTCTGCACAAGAAAATTTTTATTTTTGTCGAGCAGAAACAACGCTTAGTTATTGAATTTATTCCGTATGATACCTTGAAAATCCTAACCAATTTGTGTCTTCGAGCAGAAATTTACGCAATTCGGAGGACTTTTCTGTGAGACGGAGGTGTCTGAGAATCAAGAGACTAGCACAGGAACTATTAGCTGAATGTAAGAAGTTTGATTAAATCAATAGTTGTGATTGAAGTTAAAAACCCAGAATAGTAGAAGGGAGAGAACATCAAAATACAAAAACCCGAGGAGATGACTCAAGGATGAGAGATCAGAATGGTCGCTACAATGTAAAAATTCCAGAAGCTGGGGAATCAGAATAAACCAACTTCACTTGTTCATCATTGACTCCTGTTACCCAGACTAACAAAGTTTTTTTTCCATTTTATGAAGCTCATAAAATGGAAAAATATTTTTCATTCAGAGGATTTCTCTATATTTTAAAGGAGCCTGCCGGGCTTTTTTCCAGAATTTTCTCGGTCCAGGTTGCCTGCCTCTTTCAAAAATTTTCAGAGTCAGTAAAAAAGTTCAAAATTTCTGTCAAATAACACATTTGCGCAGAAACCTGATTTTTCAAGAAAGATCTTTGAGGTTATCTGTAGTTCTATACAGTCAAACTGTAAAATATCTTCAACAGATTTTACTTGGAGCAGACTTCTAAACATTTCCGTTTCACTCATGTTATTTAGGGCATGGTCTTTTGGATTATTTTTTTTCTTTGTATACAAATCATTATTCAGATACCTGTTTTCGGGAAATCTCCTTCTGGAAATCCGAATAGTTTTTCGTAGAATATTTCTTTGTGTGAGCAACAGAAACGTTTGGGTTTCGCTAGTATCTCCAGAGGTTTTCAAAAACATCCAACCTCTGATATTTGAGCAGCACTGTATTTTTATGATCCGTTTGTATTCAATTTTCGTAATTCTATAGCGCCGACAATTTGCAAAAATATGGACTATGCAAACTAATAAAAGATATCGATATTGCAATTTCGGTATAAAAATCGAGCCGCACAAAGCACTTTGGTTGGTGGGAAACGGATAACATAAATAATCATTGCATACAAACGGATCATAAAAATACAATGCTGCTCAGTTATTGCTATCAGACGCTCAATTCCTTATTTTTCGTGAATCGAAAAGGAACTAGCTCGAGAAATACTCCCACAGCCCTGATGAGTCCTAAATAGAACATTTGAAAAAGTAAACAACAATATAGTTCAATTTGATGTCATTCGAACTGAAATACTCTTCTTTTGTGATTGATATCTCTTCTTCTACCTTCGTCATTTTAATTCGAAGCAATTTTAACACCAACTTATTCAAAGAAGTATCATTCTTGGCAACGGATTCAGATTCAGAAGAGATTTACAAATAGTTGTAAGCCTCTGACTAGATTTAAGACTAGTGGTAAATTATTAGCTGGATGTAAGCTTAATTGAACAGTTTGATTGAATCAAAAAAATGTAATTGAAGTTAGAAATCGAGAAATCTGGAAGGAGATGACTCAAGAAAGAGAAGTCAGAAAGAGAAGAGAGGCCATCGCACAACATTGGGAAGTTTTCAGAAACTGGAGAATCAGAATCATTAACTTCATTTGTGGTACATCGTTGAATTCTGTTACTCAGATTGACAAAACTTTTTATTTTACGAATTTTCGCTTTAAAATTTTAAGACTTTTTTTTCATTCTCCATTCGGGCCGGACGGGCATTTTTTCAGAATTTTTTCTACGGTTTCCAGTAATCATTTCCCACGTTTTTATAAAAGTTTTAGGAGTCAATAAGGCATTTTTGAATGCTGCCAAATAAATGTTTTAATAGGTGAAATTACTCCCAAATAATTTTTCAGTTTCAGTCATGTTTTGTTTTTGCTGTAATTCAAGAACCCCTGTTTGATACTGTTGTTTGTGCGGTACTGTTCAATGTTCAATATCTTCTCAGAAACAAAAAAAGATTAGAAGTTTTAGATTTCCTAACGTATCGAGCATCTGATATTTGAATAACAGTGGTTTTTTTATCCATTTGCATTCAAGGTTTTTAAGTTTATAGCGCCGACCGTTCACCAGAATATCGACTATTCAAACTAATAAAAGATATAGGTAATGCAAGTTCGGTACAAAAATCGAGCCGCAATATGCACTTTGATTGGTGGGAAGTGAATAATATAAATACCGTAAAACCTCTAATAGAACGACACCCGGATCGTCCACTTTGAGCCTATATATGTCATTT